TAGAATTAGTCATATCGTGATATAAGATTTTGGTCATATCACCCAACCCTATGTAAACCTACACTAAACCCAACCCTAAACCTAACCAATTGTTTCAACAAAAGCAAATTTGAAAAAAAAAAAACACATTTGCTTAAGAAACCCTGCCATTTTGGCTTGCTTCTACAATGTTTGAACTCCTTGAATGGCTATGGCAAATGTGTTTTGAGGTCATAACATAGCATTGTGCAAGGAACCATACAAATAAGTCTTTGTTAATCACTAATCTGCTCCCTAATCATAATTTGTGTAAAAAGGAATAAAATTTGTTGCCGTTTCACTGCCTTGTGATCATTCATTATTACTACATGTCTTACTTGAACGAAGACGAAACATTTTATTAAGGTACCATCAATGCTAAAATGCTGAATGAAAAGTAGACAGCAACAAATTTTGTCATCAGGTGTATAGTTTCCAAAAAAGGTGAACCCTTGTTTGTGATATGCAGGGATGTCCCACATAATCGCAACATGTTTGGGCAAATTCCCGTGATCAGATTCAGTAGCTTTGGTGTTGTTACATAAGAAATTTATGGGGCACTTACATAACAGTAACGAGCGTATGGGCCTGTGGGACGACATACTGACCCTCAGGGTGAGCAGCATGGTGTTATAGGTGATGGGGCCGCTGTCACCCTGCATTGCCACCCACATGCCAGATTGTGTGGCACCACTGAGAGTGTGAGAGCTCTGGCTTTATTTCACAGAGAGAAGAGGAATACATGTCATACAGTCGCATGTTCAGTGAGAAAGCTAATCTGCTAAACATAAAAAATGTATCAGATAAAAACTGCATGACTATTGTAATAAGAATGACTAGTGATTAGAAATGACATACAAGTATAAACCTGTCCTAAACTTAATTTTCTGAGTTTTCTCAGTCCACAAACTGACACTCTTCATTTTCATCAGAGCACTTAGTGTGCTGGCGAGCAGAGTGTGAGACGGAGATAAACAGCTAAGCAATATCTATATGTGCACTTTTAGATATTCAGCTGATTGGTACCAAGGAAATGGATTATAATGAATGAATACATAAATAAATAAATAAATACAGTACACAGAAATGCACCGTGTTGGATGGTTAGGGTTGCATATTTTATATAAGGGTTGCAGCAGATAAATTCAGCTATAACAATGACAAGCTCAATGCCTGGCTTAACAACATAGACAAAATAAACTTCAGAGTTGGCATACTATTTACATACAGTATATAAGAAATAGCACATGGATGTAACATCAGGATATTTAGTTACAACATGCTGTGTTTTAGCAATGACAAACCAAACACAGACTCATGCTGTATGACTGTTATGAGAGTACATTATAAATTCATTATTATCATTATTTGACTTTCAAATTGTTGAGGGAGAAGATATTGATAGCTTGGCTATCAAACACAGGCAGAAGGGCAGTTATCTGTGTATTAACGCTCTAGGACTCCAGAGAGTTTCTAATAAATCTGTGCAGTCTAGAAGTGTCTTCTACTCACAAAAGAACTGGATTTACGGTGTTTGTAGGCCCAGAGCTCTATTAAGAATGGCAGTCTAAGCAATATAGACTGTACAGTGCTTTTATAAAACTCCCAGATGGGAATTCACAAAAAGGTGCAAAATCAATAAGTGTTACAGAGCACATTAGAAAACTAAATTAATAGCTATAGCATTTAGTCACTACTACAATCACCATACTGTACCACTGCAATTCATTTCATTTGGATAGTATTAGTTTGGCATAATGGACATCAAACAAACTACTTGAAGTTTAATGTCAACAGACTTAGAAATGTTCAAACAGCCAAACACACAGGACTATGTTCCATCCAGAGCATGATGTAGAGGCTTTCAATGTTTAACTGTTTCAACGGGTAACTCAGACCACAGCAACAATTTAGTCATGCAAATGCAGCACATATCGAACTTACTACAGCATGTCTTACAAAAATCTATTTAACATCTGGACAGTTGAACACTTCCAAATGTTTGAAAGTGTATAATCTGTGTACAGTAGCAATCAGTTTGAGCTCATGTTACTTCAAACCCGTTCATGAAACTGCTAAGCAAGGACAGCGCGGTGGCTGAAAAACAGCCATCGGATGAGCCTGTGTGTCCGGCAGTGCTGGGGATTTATGAAATGACTTTCACTGTCCTTGTCTGAATTGTGTTTTTAATAAGCCACACACTGCTCAAACGTAGAGCATAATGACATGCAATATGAGCTACAGTGTAACGCTGAATCACAGGTATTGTATGGTGGTGTGGGGTGTATTGCAATTAACAAATGATATGTTGTTGGCAATTTAAAAAAAGAAAATTACCACATTATCAGTATGCCACATACCAGAGTCAGTTTAGCAATAAACCAATCTCATCTCAATAAAGTATTTTATATTATTGTATTGTTCACATTTTTTATGATGTTTATTATACGTACTCTTGACGAAATAAAGTGCATTCTTGTTTATGTCTAAGACCACCACAGCTTGAACAAACATCACTGGGAAATGATTTTCCCTGATTGCATTGCAATAAAAACAACACATTACAGGAGTCACTGAAATTGGGACAGGGCAAATTAAAAATTCTGACTGGAAAAATACTAGCTCATATTCTTGTCTAACGGTTAATTCTGGCCTTGTAAACAAGCGTCAATGCAGGTGTCAATTTTATAAGTGTTATTTAATCTTCAAATCTGCTTGTAAATTGCATTCTTGTAAATTGTTAATTATCTTTAATAGGGTGGTTGAAATTCAACAATAAAAATGTCTGAAATGAATGAAAAATCTGTACATACTGTACATGTTCTGTGCATACTATTGCCAACTAAGTGAAGTAGACTATATGATAATAGTTTTTTTACATACTGTATTTACCCCACTTTTGTCACGTATTTCTAGGCTAAGTTCAAACCGTCTCTAAGCTAAACTAACAACTGTAGTTGTTATGCAATTTAATGCCAACTTTTCTGGTGAGCTTAATTTCTGCACAACATAATGCCTATATAAGATGCTCCTAGAATACAGAAACACATGATTTCACTCAATCTGATTTATTTTTCATTGCTTGTCTGTTATACACTATTCCAGAAATAGACCTACAGAGCAAAGAAAATTTAATAGAGGGAACTGAAACGAGACAATTACCAGTGTGTCCAACAGCTATAATACTGCATCAGTGCGTTTACAAGACTGATTAATGATCACTGTGCTTTGTAGGAAGGAACACAATAAAAAATACAATTCACTAACATTTGTAATAATAAAAAGTCTGGTCTGTGGGATGATTCACATTGTTAAAGTAACTTAAGTTAAGGTGTCATGCTCTGATTCTTGCTTCTACAATAACTTGTGTAGGTGTTATTTCTGAGTCTGAAATAATTTTGTGACAGAATGAGGTGAATGTTTTAAGGGTTCCTCAAACCACTGCTAATATTAAGCATGCACAAACAATGGAATCATCACAACAAAACATTTACTTAACATCACAACGACTTGAAAGAGCACCCTGAATATTCCACTCATGATTTTAGGTTAAGCTTTCTAATAAGATGTTTTCCGGGTCAAAGTCAAGAGCTCCCAGAAATTATGGTGTCATAGATGTCTGGGGAAACAAGGGCACCGAACTTGCCTCACTGGAAACAAAAGTCAAACACCAGCTATTTTTGCAGTCAGCATCTGAAATGTTCTCTTCACTCATAAAATATATAATCACGACAAATGTTCCAAGGCGGAAAAAAAAAACATGAATAAAGCAACAAAGGCCTTAAAATATGATGATGCTGATTTTCTCTTCGTATGTATATTAAGCTGCTGAATCAGTGGTTTAAATGAGACATATATCTTTTCTGCAGAAGTGATTTAAGACCTGCAGTAAACAGCAAAGGGCTAAAATCCAGAAACAAATCCCAAACAGACACAGAGCCAGTCGCCTTTGGGCTATAGAATGAGATGGTTTTTATTTACTGTAATCCCAAACACCTGTCTCCCTGCAGTACAATCACTTCCAATGAACTCCAGAGGGGCTGCAGATCACATACAGTCTTAACTGAACCTTTGATTATACCCCATATGGCTGGTTGACTTTTCTTTTAACTGCATTTCATCTCACTGCTGTCACTTCATATGTCCAAGTTCAGAGGAAGAAAATTTAATGGTGCCAAAGAGGAATTTCTCACCCTTTTTCCAAGAAAGAAACTGTCAAGATGAAAGATTATGAATCAGACAGATTAATGCGTCATTCTATTAAACAGATAAAGCAGACATAAAGGTGACTGATACTATACTAGATATGACCTCAATGAAAATTAATCATCCTTATTCTCCAAGCCAGTTTGGCATCATGTAACTCAAGATAAATGAGTAGAGGGTTTAAGATTTATGATTGTTTTCCTCTTTTGGCAGTCAGATGGTAATTAATCACATTAAAGCAATTAAGAAGGTTGTCTCTGCGCAACTGGCCTGATCTCAAATGTCCTTCAGATACACAGCTGTACTGAGGAACTGAGGTTTGTGGAATGGATTTATCTGTCAATTCATTTTTATGACACAGCTGATCAAATTATCAGCACTAACACAAGACCTACAAAGTGAAGTGAAACAAAGGAGTGTAGTGAAAGACGGTACTGGTTTGTTTTAAAACTGATCTTCTGGAAGCAGTGAACAACAACTACATATTGTGAATGCTTTCAGTTTGAATCTGCACTCAGTGACCTAGGGAATAAATAGAAGAAACATTCTGTCTGTATACTGTAATAAACATAAAACAACAAATGTAGCACATGAGAACAGCTTGTGCAGGTGTAAACCCCTCAAAATTCAAGGACACACTATAGGTGGCTTTTTTTTGGTATCTGGTGAAGGAACAGTCCAATTTGAACAAACATTTGGAAAACATGCATTATATAAACTTGCACACTGCATCACATTCACACCATGTCACTGATAAGAATGAGAACTGACCCTACCTCTCTCAGTGGTCACGACAGGAGGCTTTGAGGTGCTTTTCACTGTCCATGAACTGTTTGCAGTATCCAGAGCAGGTGGTGTTGGGGTTTTTGTGCCACTTAATGGAGAGGAAGGAGTAGGTTTTACTGTAATGTTCAGTGTTGTGGTAAATGTGGAGTTTTCTTTGACTTTACTGCGTTTGGAGGTAGCGTCCATTGTTTTGGTCAGAAGCGCAGCCGTGGTGGTCAACCAGATGGGCTGTAGTTGGTTAGTTTTACCAGTGGTCCTGTAGTCCCTGGATGTGATGGTCAGTGTGGGGGTGAAAGGTGAAAACCTGGAGTCCCTGTCGTCCTCCTGTAAGTGGTTTGGGATGGTGGTCGCCTCCAACGTCTCATCCAACACAGCACGCGGGAGTCTCGCGCCTGGCGACGCGCTCTCATCGCTCAACAAACCAGCTGTGTATCCAAACAACAATAACTCCAAAACTGAGAACAGTAACATAGTGTAACGCATACACGTCATTTTGTTCTTTAGCTCCCCATGTGAAACGTTTCGACTGTATCCTTCAGTACTATACAGATGTTTTTCTTACTACCGAATCTGTGTTTCAGCCAATTGTCTCCACTTGTCCAATCGCGCCGTGAAACTGCACGGTTTCACTTCAGCGGGACTGACAGCAGTAAACCCCGCCTACTACGGCCACGCCTCCGTCCAATCAGAGCGCAGGCTACATGAAGATTGGCGTAACACTGCACCAATCATACGACTGCGAGGAGGAGCCTCAAAACTGACAACTCTATGACCTGTCTTGAAAAGTGACAAAAGAAAACAGGTAAAACGAAATTAAATAGATCTGCGTGATAATACCCAGATAAGAGGCTAGCCAGCAGTGACTGTACGTAACTAGTGTTTTAACTTTGGTTAACACCACATTATGGAAAAATTGCATAATTTAATGGCGCTAAAATTAATGGATTCCCTCTGTTAATAGAAAATTTGACGGAGAAACTCCATTCGCCTGAAGCAGGTTTAACAAACACGACAGACGTCGTGCTGTGCTGAATAACAGTACAGAGTAATAGCGTCCCCTAGTGGTGACGCACCATTAGTCAAGAACACGCCACGACTGTGCTGCTCTGAGCAAAATTCATTTGACTGGTATTTCAACAATACCTAAAATAACAATATAAAATGTAATAATTTATTTAATAATAATCAAAATATACAGATAACTAAAATATTGATTGATTCCTAAACTAAATCAAATAAACGAATCTCTTGCTTTTGTTTTAAAGCTTTTTACAGCCTTTTTCTGGAGTATGACAATCAAAAAGAATAAAATGGAAAGAGAAAATACCTGTTTTTACTTCTGATACTCCAATTTAAAAAAGTGCAATATCTTGTAGATAAGGAAAGAATAATAATAATAATAAGGAATAAGGAAAGAATTACATCAAAATGTTACTTTAAAACACCTACACTGGGCAAACCACCACTGTGCGACTGAGGCTGATCGTTTGCATCTTTTATACATATATTCTGTATAACAATAGGCTACTGTATGCACACTACGTTTTTAAGCAATTTACTTGAGGACATTTGTCAGTGTGTGCACTGGAGAAGCTTGATGATATTGAACCCCTGAATAAAGAAATTTCACATCACTGCAGGCATTTTTGGAGCTCTCTAGATAGTTCAAAGGCTGGTTTGATGCCTGATGGTGGTCCATATAACTGTATAAAGCAACTGGAACTGAGGTGCTTCATAAATTTATAAGAATAATCCTGTGAACATACAGTAAAATGAACCCATACTGTGCTGGGTTTTAACTTTAGCAGTCATAGAGAGACAGAGAGAGAGGCTGTTTCAGGCATGTCACAGATGTGCGGTGGACATTAAGCCTTTATTTGCAATTGGACTTGCAATTGGAGTTGTTACTCCGCCCTCACATGAATTTGTGTTACAGTCATAAGAGGAGGGGGGATGAAGACAACTCATAGTGGGCGGTTTACTTTGAGAACTGTTTGGTTTAGAAGAGAGAGAGAAAGACAGACAGACAGAGAAAGCTGAGGCGAGCTAGAAAGTCAGCACTCTATAAACATCTTACAGTGCTTACCAGGACATCTTATCAGTGAACAAGAACCTTGTGAAGACAGAGAAGAGGATAGGCCTATAACACAACTTTCCTTTCAAGGAGAAGGATGAAACCTCAAATAAAAAGAACTTTATCAAACTTCTTCTTTGAATATGAAACACCTCGACAGGTTCTGGTCAGGAACAAAAGAGTTGCAGTCGTGTGCCGAATCATCCAAATGGGTGTTCTAGCCTACATAATTGGGTAAGAGATTTATTTTATCCTTAAAAATTCTGAAAAAGCAGATAAAAATCATTGAGCATGAGTAACTGAACAGAACATGCTTTAACAAGGTCAAAAAATGCACAGAATGCAAACAAACTAATGGCTCAAGCCTTATATTGAATTGAAAAGTTAAGTGCTGTCATGATGTATCATTTAAGATAATGCATTGCTTAGTCTAACTAGCAGCACACCATCAAACTGTTATTGTTTCAGAAAAGACATACATTTCTGAAGCTGAGAATTATTTTGTTTACTTGATTTGCTTGAAAGTATGCCCATATGTTTTTTTTCTTCATTGTGTCTGATTTAGATTTAATGGCTTATAGCATCAATAATGTATCAGCAGCTCATCTCCTGTCATAGAGCTAACAGCTGGCCCCCAGTATGTATTAGATAACTGGATGTACGTGGCGTTGGTGTACGAAACAATTCACTTATGTTCATGATATGTGTTGCAGTAAAATGTCATGCTGTAGTCATTCATGGAGAAAAAGCAGACTTTGACAGATGTTAACCTTTACAACAGTCAAGTCCAGACAAACGCTGAGCATTTCCTCTTAAGTAATTCAAACCTGTATTGTGCAAGCCAGTGAGCATCAGTTAACATGTGGGTGTCATTTGTGTGCTCTAAACAATACAATTTGCAAGTAACCAAATAAGTGCGTTGTGCTTCCCTTCAAATCAATGACTACTGTGGAGTACATAAAGCCACTGAAGGAATAACTCAATTGGAAAATGCCTGTTATATAGTGATACTTAGCTGTCTCCTACTTACTGTGTATATCTACAATGTGTTATATCACTGTATTATACTATAATGTACAATAAACCTCCTTTAATGTCTGTGATCATAGAACAGCACAGGAGTTGTGCTGCTCTCTCATCCCTCTTTGATACTCCTTTTTGTTTATCAGTGAGACCACCCTTAATGAATCAAATACAGCTCTAGTCCAAATTTCAACAGGCTGACAGAGGTATTTGTTTGGGTATTCAAAACTAAAAAGCATTAAACACTATAAACCTGCATGTCGTGCAGCTAAAAGTGGATGGTGCTTCTGTTATCTGTCATGTGGAAGTTGTTTGTCTTTATAAGTGAGGTGAGCTGAATGAAACGCAAAACGAGCAAGTCGATAAACTATTGCAATAGCATTAGTTTTGGTCTGTGTGGAGCAGTATGTCATCTTTAGGTGTGTAAGACGATAAGACTGACAGTCATGCTTCAAAGGGAAGAATACCGTTTGTCGTGTCATGCAAGAGGGCATGAGGCCAAAATCTTATTGCTTCATCCTACTTTTACATGACACAAGACGGTTCAAGTACATATGAACACACACACACACACATACACATATTTTGAAACGCAAACTATAAAACATGCCTTAGTCATTTAAACGTTTTCGGTCACACTTTATTTTACGGTCCAATTCTCGATATTAACAAACCATTAACTATGACTTTTGCCTCAATAAACTTCGAATTTGCTGTTCATTAATAGTTAGTAAGGTAGTTGTTAAGTTTAAGCATTGGGTAGGATTAGGGATGTAGAATATGGTCATGCAGAATATGTGCTTTTATATACTAATAAACGGCCAATATTTTAATAATAGGCATGCTAATAAGCAACTACTTAATAGGGGGAATTGGTCCCTTTACTAAACTGTTACCACATTTTCCAACTGCTGTGCAAGCTTAATAGTGCAAATCATGAGGGCACAGTATACACTTTTTACTTGAATAAAATAATGCACTATAAATATGTTTTTATTGCTATTGTCAATCAGTAACTAATAAAAATGAGATTAATAGTAGTTCAAAGGTATTAGGATCAAATGTAATTTAAACATTGAAACCCTACTTTCACTGACACCTCATGAATCCAAAGAAAGAAAGAATGACTTTACAGAATCATTCACAATGTTTCTGGAAATAATTGTCAACAACAGGAATATTTTAGTGGAAAATTAATGAGATTTTTCATATACCTGTGTGTAACCCTATATCAAAGAATTAGGTCTTTGAAAATGATTTATATGCAGTAATTTGCAGGTTTTATTCATATCCATTATGTGAAAAGGGTACCTTTATTTATGGCTGCCATGAAATGTCATGTATGTGGATGACAATGATTTTAATAAGTAAAATCACAAAGACACTATTTATGAAGTAATTTGGTATTCAAACCATACACTATGAAATACAATAGATCTAATTTATGATTTAGGTAATAATTACACACACAAAAGATCTCCAGACTGCAGCTTGATTAAACCAGATCAGGTCATGAATTGTTTTTTGCTTTTGTTAGGTGGGTGTTCATGTATGAGAGAGGCTACCAGACGATAGATATCGCCATAGGCTCCATCTTCACCAAGATGAAGGGAGTGTCCTTCACAAATATCAGCGGAAAGGAGAGGATATGGGATGCAGCTGATTTTGTTTTTCCTGAACAGGTGGGTTGTGTCTCCTAATTTTGGCCTCAGAACTGAAAACTTCAGAAGTCCTAATTTATATACATAGTTAACATTATTTTATTCTTTAGTTTTATCATCATTTCAAAAATGAAGAAATATATTTTTGAGTGCAGATGTGGGACACTCACTGGGTAATTGTCCATCCAATAAATTTCAGTTTATGCTTTCTGATTTTAAACATACTTATATTGGCATAGGAGTCATGATGGCTGTAAATTGGGCCTAATCACAGATAAATGTAATCATATTGTGTAAACATCTGCAGTCATGTGCGGGTTATTCTCACTCTGACTGAGAAACTACTGATATTGTCATGGCAAGTAAACACCTATATTGTGACGCTTTTTAGAAGGCTAATGGAGAAATACTTGTTGATTATAAAGTTATTTCTTAACATAAATCATTGAAAATGTCTGCCATTATTTACTTAATGACAACAGCCTGCAGCAGTTTCAGAATATGAACTTATTTCACAGAAAGCACCCAGTGCAGAAACAGACAGACTGTTGACAGAAAAGTAAACACGTCATCATTCAACAATCAAAGGAGTGGCTCCAGGAGCTTCTTTATAAAGTCAACGAATATTTTGTCCAAAAAGCAAACATCAAAATGTTAATCACGATAACAAATATCAGCGCTTATGCACACACACACATTGGGTTTTCATGTTTTATGGTGACTTTCTATAGAACATTTTATTCACCAAAGAATCCTGAAAAAATGTCAGTTTCCATGAAAATAAATAAGCACAACTTTTCAACATTGATAATCAGCATATTACAATGACAGGAAATTCAACAAATGTAAAAGCATCACTGGTTTTCATATGTACAGGTTGCTGTCACTAATAGCTAACAGTGCTAGCAGAGCAGAGACACGAGAGATGGAATGACACTTAGACTATTTAAGGCTGAGTTTAAACTTTAGATTCAGCCTTAAACACAGCTGTGTCTCAGATGCAAGCTGAAAATATAGCCATGCTTATCTTCAAACAGTGTAAATCAAGCATTTAATACTGAATCATATGTACAGTGGGTGGCTTTTTGGTGGTCTGTTTTGGGTTTAGGTTTCGGTTTCAAAAAAGGACATTCATCATGTCATGCAGGGGTGTCAAAAACAGTAGCCTGAAATCAAGCAAGCAGAAATCAGCTTCAAACACTCCACTTCTTATGCAACCATTGTATCACTAAATAGACAAAGGATGTACTATAAATTTAACATGGCGCTCTGGCTCTGTTTTAAGCTTAGATATTGAAACTACATGTGGAACCTTTCAAGTCCTTTATGTTCCATTTTCCAGGGTGACTCATCTTTTGTTGTGATGACGAACTACATTGCTAGTGTGGGACAGAAACAGGACAAATGTCCTGAGGTAGGTAAATATATTTTTCTTATTGTCTCATCACTATCGGCTTTCATCATCGTGACTGTCATAATTCTTTTGTTTTTTTTCTCTAAGATCTCTGTATGAGTCATATCCTGACCATCTTTCCCCCCAGTTAAAATACAGTTTCTCAGAAATAAGGGTCGATGGCCGCCATGAAACTTTTTTTTTTGAGGGGCTCAAGACCAAACTAAAACTTAACTGAGAGTTGCTGATGCTTCTGTCAGTGATCATACCACTTTTACCTTTTTTTTCTTTGTCTGAGTAAAGCCATGTGCGTCACTGAGTGGCAGTTTGTCTTTGGTGTTGCTAGATGAAGCATAAATTCAGCCAGTTTGTTTTAGGACAGGCGTCACACGCTTAGGGTTACAAGCTACTGTACGTATTATTCAAGATCATACCATATAATAAGGAATTGTCACATTTTTAAAAGAACAGAGTTCTATTCCACATTAAATCCATTTGGATTTGAAAACACTTTGCTTTTGAATCAGTTAAACTTGTGAATCATATTGTCACTAGATTTACTGCATTGCTCATCAAAATGTTTAAAATACAAAATATCCTACAAAGAAACAGAAAGTGTCACTTATTTCCCCAGGTTACCTTGGCAAACTCATATAACCTGTGTTTGGTGATACAATCTGTTTGTACTTTCCAGCAAAGTAACATGGCTAGACTTCATGTGCCATATCTTCATTCATTTACCTGCTCTGGGTTTACCTCAGTCTTATTTGTCTTTCACTTTACTCTCTATTTGACTTTATTGCACTAGCTACAAAGCTTTGCTTAAACAAATGAGTTTTAAGAATTGGGTTTTGTGGTTATTCTGTCTCTTCTGTGCATCCTGTCTCATTTGGATCTGGCATTTGCATATTTTCAACAAGCCAACTGGGGCTTAATTAAACACTAATATCCATTAAAGTGCTATTCCTTTCCTGTGTGTATTTCAGCTGCCAGATGGGAAGAACAAGAACAAGTGTATGACTGACGAGAACTGTGATGAGGGCAAATACAAACGTACGGGAAATGGTAAAGTTTTAACCATTATATTGTTCCGACAGAAGGCACCGGCACAGCAGACTAACTTCACATCACTAGCAGCCGGGGGAAGAGGAACTCACTTTTTTTGTCACTTGTTTTTCATGGGCACTGTATAATCCCTTTGACCTTCATTGGTAACTAAATCAGTGGACCAGTGGTCTAAGATATGTACCGCATAATTCAAATGATCATGGGGTAAGAAAATTGGGGCACTTGCACGTAAGCATTTGGTTTCAAACTCTACTCAGAATCAAAGGGGGCCTAATGAACTCTCACTCTCCTAACTGACAAACCTGCACATCATCCATGCTGCCGTCTCCGTAAGTCACTAACATTCATGACTAACATGCTTTGCTCTCATGCTCTAAGGCTTTTTCTCTGCGCTTTCCACATCTTTGATGAATTTTACCCCATGCTCACTGATGTCTGTAATTCCCAGAGTTCCACAGGGCTCTCATCCAGATTACTTGGCGTGACTAGCAGTTTCTATAACAGGAACTACGCACAATTATTCCACTGCTACCCAAACATAAATAAATTGAAGTCATTTGTTAAATAAATCTTGCTTTTTTGACATCATTAGGATTGGCAGAGCTTAGTAGTAGTATGGGAACACCAATGACTTATAAACACACCAAAAAAAAGCTGATTAAAAATAATACAATCAAACCCACATTATAGACTGAGTGATATCATGAGCTCAGTGTGGGTCACAAATACTCAAATATTGACTCTGTTTCACGTGCAGCGTAGCAGAACGATTTACTCCAGGATTACAGATGTAGGTAAACAGCACTATCTCACATTGAAGTAATTCAAAGTAACTTGACTTCCAGTCATGGGCAATTGGCACAAACTTCATTCAACACATATTTTCCTTAATCGTGTTACAATACTGACTCTGTGAACTCAGGGTAAAATTCACAGATGTTTTCCTTGACAACACACAACCTTCTGGTTGTTTACGCCATGCTTCTGACCGCATATCATTTCATGCTTGTTGTATCATGTCTCTGATATATGTATGATGTTCTGTGACACAAGGGATGTGTTATATGTTATGTTACACTAAGTGTATTTTAATGGTTGTACAAAAGTTTATCAATGCTATACTAACCACCAAAGCAAGTTCAGTCTGTGAATGTAAATGTTCCTGGCAATGTTAAAAGAGTCAGACTGAAATTGCAAACATATGACCAAATGCAATCTGATGAAAGCATTCCTAAATAACTGGACTGATAGAATCATCCTTCATGCTCATTAATTCAGAGAAAAGTTAATTTAGTAACATCAAAGTCATGGCAGCTCCTCACTGAAATCTCACAGTCAGTTACTAATAGGAATAGATGTGTATCAAGTCAACCGTACAAATTGATTTGATTTTATCTTAGTGCTTTTCACACGGTCTGACAATCTTCTACCCAGTATTATATCAACCAATTTTATACTTTAAATATGAAAATATGAATATATTTAAAATATTTTAATACCAGATTTTATTCCCTTTTCACTACCTCAAGTGTGCTGAGAGTAATTCGAAAGTATGACTTTGTTTATGCATATGTGTGTGTGTGTTTGTGCATATACAGTGGGTATCAAAAGTCTAAATCCATATTGAAAATGTGGGATTCAAAATGTTTTTAAACCTGGAGAACCTGGATATATATATATATATATATATATATAAGCATTTTCAAAAGGGACATCAGAATTTTGGATCCTACGATATACCCTGCCATCTCTCTTTGGGGCACATGACTGTGTTTTGTTTGTCTGTTCTGATCAACACCAAAGCTTTTATACTCTGTTGTTCCATTACGGCATAACTGTCTCTCTCAGGGCACATGACGGGCAGGTGTATAAGCAATACCAGTACTTGTGAAATCTACTCCTGGTGTCCAGTTGAAGATGACCGTCAAATACCAGAGTATGAATGCTTATTTTATTATTGTTGTTGATGAATTGAATCAATCACATGGGGTGTCTAACAGTTATTGTGGCATGCCTGGACTACAATTATTGTCTTTTTTTAAATGTGGCATCTTTCATTTATAAGCCCACCATAATGAAAGAAAAGATACGGTTTCATAAAAAGCAAAGACTCACCATTCCTGAATGTCTTGAACTTTATGTCTGTGTAGAAATCTTGGAAACTAAAAAAGAGAATCAAAATGCAGTCGCCTTAAACATAAAAGTCTGTTTATACCTGGAGCACGTGACAGATTGTATTTAAATTTGTTTTGAATCAGCCTACAGTCTTGGTCTGATCCATTTAACTTTATTATGTTTCTCTGTAGCCCTCCAATCCTGCTGACAGCAGAAAACTACACACTGTTCATCAAAAACTCCATTACCTTTCGCCAGTTTAATGTAGTAAGGTAAAATTCTATATTTTTCAAAAGTTCCTTGTGGTACTGTACTGTATACTGGCAAACCCTAACAAGTACATTCAGAGGAAGGAGAATGAAATAAAAAGGACCTATTTTGAATGTGTTCATATAAGCCAGGGGTTTATTGCGGTACTAAAGAATGTCTGCAATATTTTGTGGAAAAAAAAGAAAATACACGTTAAACAACTTAAGCTAAACCAAAGCTAAAGTTTTTTTTTTATAGTCTCTCACACGTCAATAATCATTTATATGTCATGACATACTGTAATAACGTTTGTACAGTACAATATGGTACTTAACACGTTATTGAAGGCAAGGCTTAAAATGCACTCAACACTCAGCTTTATCCGCTTTGTCTAAAAGATGAAAGTTCTCCTCCCTTTTTTCTCTCTAGGAGTAACTTGGTGGAGAGTGTGAATCAGAGTTACATCAATACGTGTTTGTATCATCCCAAGACTGATCCACTGTGTCCCATCTTCAGACTGGGAGACATCGTTGAGCGCTCTGGGTTCAATTTCTCAGAGATAGCTCGTGTGGTAGGTTTCTGTCATGAATGATTGTAAATACACACACCCACTAACACTCACACTTCTAGTGATACTTGTTCTTTAAACATACATTCAGACAGTATACTTACATTCAAAACATTCTAGTATGTCCAGTAATCGGGATGATTTCCAAGACTGATGTACTGAATTGAATAGTTTACAAACTTAATAGCTGTTGAATCGTGATGTCGATTTGTAGGCTTCGCTCTGGGTTTCCAAGGGAATTTATGAATAGCAGTAAAATAAGTCAGTGGTTAACATCACTTGAGGAGACATTCACATTTTGTTCTATACATGTGATTTTATCATACAATGTTTATAGCTTTACATCTTGCTATTGTGACTTTATTCCTCATAAATTCCAACAATTGTGACTTCTCACTATAGTAATCTTATATCTTTTGTGTCTTTAAACTGAATAACTGTAACCTTTTATCTCACAATGTGAGTTTCTTATTTGAAACGTTATCCCAAAATTGTGGTGAATGATTAAAATCTGGAGAAGATCACAAAAACATGGGACGATAATCTACATGATATTTCTTATGTGATGTGTTAGGGTGGTGCTATAGGAGTCCTCATTGACTGGGACTGCAATCTGGACCTCAGTATCAGACACTGCAAACCAAAGTATGAATTCTATGGTCTTTATGGAACAGCGAAAAATGACAAAGAAGAGAAACCATCATTGGGATACAATTTTAGGTGGGTAAGAAAGTTTAACCTATTTCCCTTGTGAAAACAACTTTTAATTAGACTGCTCAGTGGTGAGTGGTGCTTTACTGTATTATTTCTGAGTCTGTGAGCTTTGTTGGTTTCTGTAAAAGAATAAGATTTTTTTTTAAAGAATATATTAAGTGGAACCACTACTAGAATTATTATGTGATACTGACTGTTTCAGATATGCTAAATATTATGTGGAGAATGGGGTGGAGAAGAGAACACTAATGAAGGTGTTTGGTGTACGGATAGACATCATTGTTCATGGACGGGTAAGCTTATTTTTTATGGATCATTCAGAAAGAAATTAAGGAACATGCACATTTCCATTTGTTTACAACTGTTCCTTGCAGGCAGGAAAATTTGATATCATCCCAACGTTGACGGCTATTGGCTCAGGAGTAGGAATCTTCGGAGTGGTGAGTGTCAGAGAATAAACTTATATTAATATAAAGAGATACCTGGTATCATTTCCTCAATTACTTTTTACTACAGACTCCATATTTTGGATTCTTCTGTCATGTAGGAGATGATACCAGGTGTAAAAATCTTTTGTGTTGTACCATCCAAGTAAAAATTAAAAGATGTGTTAATGTAAATAAAGTAATTGAGTTAAGGTTCTTTAATGCTTTTGAAAGAGTTATCTTATGTTCAACAAGGCTGCAATTATTTAATCTGAAATACAGTAGAAGCAGTAATGTGTAATGATCTAGTATAGATAAGTGATTTTAATATATATCTTTATAATTTAATAATCTAATATAATTTTATAATCTATTTCATATATATTTCATATTATTAATGTTAAAAAAAACATTTGTGCTGCTTAATATGTTTGTAGAAATACATTTTAAGGATTATTTGAGGAATATAAAGTTTAAACAAACATTTATTTGAAATTAAATCTTTGTAGAAAACAACAACAACACTTTTCATCAAATGAATGCATCCTCGCATTAGTATGGAAAAAAAATCATACTAAACCTCAAAAATTTGAATGCTAGTGTATCTGTATGTCAAAGCAGCACTATGTAACTTTTGGCGCTCTAGCGGTTAATAAACAGAACTGCACACATCACGCGGCAGAACATTCTAACCGGGAAATACATTTTAAGGATTATTTGAGGAATATAAAGTTTAAACAAACATTTATTTGAAATTAAATCTTTGTAGAAAACAACAACAACACTTTTCATCAAATGAATGCATCCTCGCATTAGTATGGAAAAAAAAATCATACTAAACCTCAAAAATTTGAATGCTAGTGTATCTGTATGTCAAAGCAGCACTATGTAACTTTTGGCGCTCTAGCGGTTAATAAACAGAACTGCACACATCACGCGGCAGAACATTCTAACCGGAGCTACTTCTCTAAGTTTATGTCTATGGCGATTCACGCAGGTATGTGTTACTCCGCAGCGGTGACGACCCGACCAGGCTACAATAGTCCAAATCTAAGTACTTATTATAAGTGTACCGTAGTGATTCGGAATAAGACAAAAACGCGGTTTGGAAGATGAATTCATAATGTACTTGCTCATTATATACATTTTGCCAATTTTGAACACAGAAAAAGTTACATAGTGCTGCTTTAATGACTCAATTACTGTGTTGATGACTAACTTGAAACAGAAACAAGAACAGATGCATCAAATTAGATATATTTCAAGCTTACCTTTCTATACACTTAGCTGTTTTGTGCTCACAATATCTCCGAAGTGCTTTTTATCTTATTGAAATGAACTAACATCTACTCTCATTTGTTAAGGCAACCGTTGTGTGCGATTTGCTCCTCCTATATTTTGTTCCAAAGAGAGATTTCTACAAAAACATGAAATTCAAGCATACAGAAATCCCGGAAGAGGTGAGTGTTTTTATTTTTTTTAAATAAATAAAAGGTACTAAATATTTCATTTGAGTCACACTTGCCTTTGTGATCGCTGCTGTGTCTCTGAGAGCTCTGTGGATAGCCAATGCTAGTTCACTACCAAAACACAAGATGGCAGCAGAGATACATAGTTAGCTGCCACGCAAATCTGTTACTTGAGCAGATGCAATTTACATCAAGCTACATTCCCGTAGTAGTGTCATTATGGACATTAAATTCAGGATTTAAATAGAATTCAAATGTCCAAAGCACTTCTGAGGGTGTGTGTGTGTGAGACGAAAAGTATAACCACGGGCATCAGCAACTATCTTACTTTTCTATCTGTATGCATGTGGGCAGACTATTGCATTCAAGTCCATGCTACACCACGGCTTCCTGTAGACATCTCTGCAGTGATATAGTTACCCTAGCAACACAGCGCATTGACCATACTTGTATCTTATAAAGAAAGGAAAATGAGGGCACATCTTAACCTCCAGTACTCCCACTCTAGCAGCTTTCTGATGAAGAAAAACATTGGGGTTGATAGGAGCATGGGAAATGATCTCAGATATGTATTTGCCCTTCCACAGAAACCAGCCTTGCCCCAGTCACAGACAGAAAAAGATCTACCAAAGGTAACGTGCCATTCAAATCTTTTCAGCCGCAGATCCCTGTAGAATTATAGCATATCTCTATAAACAACTTTTTCAATTTTAGTTGTGGTCACAGTAATTCAGATCTTTGCTGTGCACAGGAGTGAAGTCAGGACGGCTGCCATGATGACTGACTGTTGCACTGAAGACTGAGAGAGGAAAAAAACACCTCAACACTGGAGCTTAAGCAAGACGGCTGGGAGACTTGACACACAGAACTGTCAGACATCACGTTTCCTTTCTAAGTGCCTCAAAATGGCCACATTTCTCTCCCCTCCTTTAAATAAGTGAAACCTTTGTAAATGTGGGTAGACAAATGATCAAACCTCATCTATTGCACATGAGCCGAAACCTGGAAAAGAAAATAAAGCCTTCACACTTGAGTTGATTGCTCAGACAGAGGTATGGCATATTGGCTGCAGCATATGTTTAGCTTATACAAAAGTCCAGCAGGAAACAATTTAAAGGGGTTTAAACATTAGTTGTTTTGTCTCACATAGATATCAAAAGGAATAACAAACCTAGAGAGAAGTCTGTAAAAGGTTATAAGTTAAGGGACATGCTGTACGTCAAGACACTAACAGGTGCATAGCATACATCAAGAAGTAACTGACAAGACTACTGTACATTTGAGACAGAATGGACAAATGAGTTTGCACACTCACTCATATAAGAGAATAAGGGGGATTGTTTAAAACCATTGGATGAATTTCTACACATAAACACCTTAGAGCTCCTGAACATAGAATATGCTATTCCATTCTCTCTGTATTCTCCGAACAGCAGTGTCCAGACCCTGAGTACCACATACAGAAATCTCAATACACGACAGAAACAAGACTCTATTTAATCAAATACTCCATACAAACAGAGCCAAAAAACACTAGTCGTTTGGCACTGAAATTTTTTTCCTGTGTAATTCAGTTTATGGGCAAAGAGTGTGTGCCTAAAAGAGGGTCATCGAGAGAAAAAGAGAGATGGGGAAGAGAGAGAAGATGGGAAGAATATGTAGGAGTCAGAAAAATGGACCACCATCTGCTCAGGATATTAGTGAGAATATAATGAAAGTGGTTCACTGCGGTTTATCAATCTATCTTCATATAAGCAATAATGAGTCCTCTAAATGGGTGACTTCGATTAAAGGTTTTCTCTAAGCATTCACTGCTTACGTAACCAGTTAACTGAAAATAATTGGCAGCTGACCTGATTTGAGTCCAGTTTTATTCTTGTAAAATTAATTAAAGGGGCAGTTCACCCTGAAATAGTCAAAGCAGTTCATTTCTATGCAATGAAAGGGGAATGGTTGGTGACCCAACCAATTGCATTACATGAGCAGCTTGGACATTCGGCTGAATATCTCTTTTCGTGTTTCACGCAAAAAAAGTTTGGAATGATATGAGGGTAAAGGCCTGTTCACATAAAGACAAATATTTGCTTTGATAAACATTCATTTAAATGTATTTGAATTAATGCGTCTGTTCAGACCGACACAATCATTTGCATACCATTAATGCAACTTTTTTTAATTTATTTATGAAGAGGTGTTGTAATCTCTCTTCCATTGCACTGAGAAGAAAACTGGAAAACCATTCATATTTGCGCTTTTGATCACATGCCATGAGCCACTGCTGTTACATAAAACAATGACTTGGTGGTGCTCACGAACAGACTATTTTGCTAAGCAAATGTGAATAACAGACAAAGAATCCAGTGTTGTTTGATAATCACAATAATAAACACAAAAATCGGAATGGCTGTTCGAAAACGTAAATATGGTTTGACTTCCTTTTTCTCCATGACAACTGGGCATCAGAAATAGAACACTGCACAGCACTTAGAATACCAGGGTAAATGGGGTATTTCTGCTTTTGAACAGAGCCACCGACTTAATAGAGTGAATTTTGTCCTTTTAATTCAGCCTGTCTGACATTTTTTTAAGCATTGGTCTGAATAGGCAAGTATTTGCTATTAATGCTATTTAATTCCTGGGTGAACTGTCCTTTTAAAATTGAAACACGCATAGTAAAAATCTAATTAATATGAGTGCTCTGCTCTGGTAATTAAACATCTCGATCGTCAATGTCCCTTTACAATGATTGTCCACTCAGACTCTCTTTGTACTTTCAATACGTGATTCGAACACAGGGGATGATGGGTTCGACTGGCAGATGATCCGATGTAAACAAGGGCGTATTGTTTTGGACGGAGTTAATACAGGCCGAGAGGGACAGTGATGACATTGAATGGCAGTTCACTTTCGTTACACAGCTAAACACCATATTCAGATCCTTCCTTCAATTGGCTTGTCTGTTTTGAGTGAAAGTGACTCCCTCTCTTTCCACATCAGTGCACACCCGCTCGCCTCGGTGGCATGTTTGCGTGTGTGTTCGAGGGCCCGTTAGCACTGCTGACTGACAAATAAGCCTTTTGGAATGTGAAGACTCGGTAAACAATGACACATTCTGTTCCTGCAGAGAGACAAAGTGCTGCAACACGAGAGCCCTGCATCCGGTGTGATCCGTATGCTGCATTTGCGACATTCACAAACATGGAAAATAAGCCATGTTCTAGATAATGGTTATACCGAGTGCTCAAACACGCTGTATGAGAAAGCCCTGTTTTCTAGAATTGATTGAATGTGAAGACAAGAGCCTCTTTTAGTGTCTAGTAGTTACATAAGCCCCTTTGTTTCACAGTACGACACTGTGTGTGTTTATATATCGTATCAGAATGAAATTAGACAATTTTATGGTATGAAAAAATGGAAAGCAACAGAGATATGGAACCACCATTATATGGAGAAGGCCATATTTCAGGCATGCTATGATGGATAAGGTTAAGAATTGCACATTAACATATACAAAAAAGGCAAGACGCCATTGCTATTATTTTCTACACATGTACAGAGGTTATGATGGCAGCACACTGCATCAACAGCTTACCAAGTTAATAGCATCTTTTGTCCATGCTTTAGTCTTATGCACTAGAACACTTGTGGCATAGTCTTTCACACAAACCTGGCCTAATATAGATTCCACACCAAATCTACTAGTTTAGCCAGGATGTGAGGACCAGGATGGAAAGATCCAAATGGTATGAAGGAGAAAGAATAGTTTTCCGCCAAATTATCAAGGCCAGGTTTCATGAGAACCATAGGCAGGAAAAGTGATTCTTGTGCAAGACTGACAAAGATGAAAAGCCTGAAGGATGACTAGCAATAGCAGAATCCAGTTCAATGTCAAGGTAAGCCTCAAGTCGGTGGAAACAGAGTGTAGTGGAGCAGTTTGGGTCATGATCATCTTCTGCTCGAAGGAATGGAAGGACAATGAGGAACTCTTCAGGATCTATGAAGACACTCAAGAGGTGGGTGGTTCGTCCTCATGTAAATCCTCGAGCTCAACTTCTCTACCAGCCTCTCCACTGCTCCCTTTTCTGAGAGAGAAAGAAAAACAGAGAGAAATTTTGAATCATTGCCTTTCTATATGATCCCTGCTTTGATCCAGTAGTTGATCTTGAAAGGCAAGCTTTTGTAACAGCAGTCCAATCTTGCTCCTGGAGGACCACTGACCTGCAGAATTTAGCTGCAATCCCAGTCAAATAACTGAACCAAGGTAATCAAGCTCTTCGGGATTATTGGAATCTTTTAGGCAGGTACATTGGTACAAGATGGAGCCAAATTCTACAGGATGTTGTCCCTCCAGGACAAGGATTGTACACCTATTAAGTTTGGTCATGAAGTAGTTTGAAATGAAACTGAAATTAAATTGACAGAGAGATGCTGCAAACTCAAGATGTAAGGCAACCAGCAGCAGTTTGTCTCACTTTTTATTTACTTTAGGGCAAATAAATCTGAACTCAATGATAACACAATATTAAATAATAATTAAAAACTGCACTGTGAATGGTTCCATAGAAAAAAAGGAGGAAATTAGCAGAAATTATATGAATTCTTTGTGATTTTGTCTAGGTATAGTTTTTTTTTTTTCAAAGACATTGCATCTGACAATATCTCATTTAGTTGCTATCAAGTAACTTGAGGGGAAAAAAAATATTTTTTTATATCTTGATAACTAATATTTTTGAAATCTTGTAAGCTTCAAACCAGCTAGTTATATATGACAAAGTATAGTTTAGGTGAATAGTTAAAAATAGTTGGATATGAAGAAATTAATGCTTTTATTCTGCAAGGATACATTAAATTGATCAAAAGTGCCAGTAAAGACTTTTGCATAGTTTCAAAAAAATGCAATTAAAGGTTGTTTTTAAGGATCTATTCTGAACAAATGACCATGGTTTTCACAAAAATATTAAGCACTGTGGTTTTTGAGCACCAAATCAGCATATTAGAATGATTTCCAAAGGATCATGTGACACTGAAGACTGGTCTACCTTCATAACATAAATCATGCACAAAAAAACTATGCACTACGCATTTAATGCAATGTGCATTATATTAAACAGGTGTGAAGCATTTGTAGGAAGACAGTCTGTGGTGACTTGAAACTATCCAGTATTAAATTGAAAACTAGAAATTTTCTTTGAGCACACTGACGAACAATCTTAGAGGAAACACATGAACATGGGAAGGTTCGCTGCAAAAGACACAACTGCACACAGAGGTGGGATTGAATGAAGGACCATGACATGAGGTGTTTCACATGGTTAGACTCTTCTATCACCAAATACTTTTACTGTCATGAAGCAAGAGAAATGCCACACAAGGACAGGATAGAGGCTGAAATGACTCATACTTTCACTGACCCGTGGGAATGCATGGAGAAGGGCAGGGAATCTGACACAGGGCTTGAGTGACAAATGACAATGACCACCTGTCACAATGAGTTACCTTAATGAGGGCTGGAGTTTAAAAGAGGGCCGGAACGGCCAAGAGTCCCTGCAGCAGAGAGAGACAGAGAGTGGAGGAAAGGGAGGACAGTGTCAGCGGTTTCATGTGAAGTAAAGCGGCAGGAACCAGGTCATTATAGAGGCTCCTGTGAGTTATTGCTGGTCAAAATGCCAGTTACATTAATAGGGAAAGGTTTACTGCATTTAAATCATGTTCTGCAATAAAAATCAGTTTATGAAAATGGTACTCCTCAGATAATCTTATAAAACTGCAGTCAGAGATAGTTGGTTTGCATATACTTCTAGCTTAGTGCTGTCAGAGACAGATAGCGTTAGCATCAACAAATGAAGAGAGACGGACGTGCCCAGACGCTTAGAAAAACTCATCAAATGGCAAGCATATTTGTCCAGAGACAGCGTTTAACCCTTGTATTTGACAAACATCAACAGGAAATATCAACTAACTCCAGTCTGGGCTTCATGAGCATATGAATAGGTTACCCACAGTCAACCTGCGCTCTGTGGCTAGAAAATGGAAGCAATTTTTAAGGTGCTGGAGGCCAGAAAAAAGTGCTGAAATGTAATAATGTGCAGCCATATTTTCATCACAGCCAACAAATGTGTAATGATACGGCCATTTCTTTTCCTTTGCGGCAGTTATGATTCAGTGATGTGTATAGCGTTATACCGTGTCCTAACAAGGCCTACACAGAAAGTAAAATGTGGCACGATGCAACAAACTGAAAATCGTATTAAAAACATATTTCATGTTTAATATACAGCTGTACAGTGCAGGCAGGTGCTATCCAGCACAAACAAAAGATAATAAGCTGACTAATGTGATATAAATTGTGGCTGATACAATAATAATTATTTTGATGTTACAGTCAATAAATGATGACTTAAAGATATTTAAACTGTGTACTAGTGAATTTTTTGATGAAATGTATATACATATATACATAAATACACACAAATATACATAAATATGTACATATTAGATAGATGGATAGATAGAACATAAAAAAGTCATTAAAAATTAGAGTTAACAATGTTATTAACATAATATTTAAAAAAATTTACGAGTTCACTATATTGCAGAAAAATAAGTAGAATGGAGCATGGGAAATGAAATTTACAGTACTGTATAGCTGTTAGAAAGAAATTACTATTATATTGTGCTTGTTATTAAAGTGGCAATATTCTGAGAAAATGAATATTTAAGAGAGATGTAGAAAATGTAATCCTAATTAATACAATCTTCATGAGATTCACAAGAATCTCAATCCTTGCTGTCATCACAGAGTAACAACTGCAGTCGCCTGAGAGTGCATGAATGTCTCAGAAAGGGAGGGGAAGTGTGTGTTGGCTATGCACAGTAAGTGTGTGTTTAGATGAAAAAGGTTATTAATGTGCAGGAGGTAGTGTATTCAACCTGACACTGAATTATGGATGACATGCAAATGAGCACCCCTGATAGTTGGAGATTTAAAGGGACAGAGGGATTTTCAAAATTCTGATGATGACATTCTACCAACTGGGGGAGCTGCTGCTTTTTATCCATTCAATCAAAAACACTATAACTCAGAGGGAACAAAAATCCGTGTATCATTCGATCATTCGTTTTTTTATTTAATATTGAAAGTAGAAAAATTAGAAAGCGGCTCCTTTTTCGTTTTTTTCCAAAAAACGTAAAACGAAAATTCATCTTAAATTTTAGTTTTTCGTTCATGGGTGGAAAAATGAATAAACAGCTTGAATATTGGATTTCTACACGTGGGCGGGAATTAAACGCCCCTTTCTGCTGATTGGTCAGTCGAATATCAAACTAGCAGAAACCCTATCACTTTAAGAACCGCTGGTCTACACAGAAGAAAGACCTATCTAGACTCTGCCCCGGTACGAGTTGTGTCGAGCTATTCATTAGTCTGTTTGATGAGAAAAATATGAAATTGATAAAATGGGTTATTAATCCGTACAACTGCAGCAGCAGAGGACTATTATTCTGCTGCGTGATACTGCAAACGAACTGATGATGGCACGGTTTGATCTTCGGCTGACCAATCAGCAGAAAGGGGCGTTTAATTCCCGCCCACATGTAGAAATCAAGTATTCAAGCTGTTTATTCATTTTTCCACCCATGAACGAAAAACGAAAATTTAAGCTGAATTCTCGTTTTTCGTTTTTTGGAAAAAAACAAAAACCGAAAAAGGTGCCGTTTTCTCATTTTTCTACTTTCAATATTAAATCAAAAAACGAATGATCGAATGATACACGGATTGAACAAGTAACTGACAAATGGCTTATAAAAAAATTATAGAGGTAAATGAAAATACAACCAACTGCCTCTTGGAAAAGGAGGTGACCTGCTGAGTCACAGTATTGATCCATCTTGTTCCCCAAGAGATTTCACCTTTGTCAACATAGAGGCCACACCAAACAAGCATGTCAATTTGTTTACAGATCAAATAAAATTACCTTTCAGTTTTGATTGTACGAATAATAACTGCATACGGCACATAACCCATCACAGAGAGATTTCAGCCCTGCATTAAAATATACACAAGGCTGCCTTCGGTCTACATGGGATGCATACAGAGATAACCAGACTGTTTGTATTGATCCAGGGCATTCAGAAGACAGAGAGCAACCCTCTGCTGATTCTGACAGGCATCACACAGACAGCACACAGAGAGGAAGAGTGAGAGAACATTCTGCTGTCCTTGAACAAACCCGCTTTTATGTGGGAAAAGCAGCCGTGTAGAGACAGAAATTACTTCATGGAGACACTTACTGTCAGTCTAGTGGGCACATTAACAGCAAAAAGCCTCCGAGAATAACTGTCACAGGAGGGATGCTGCAAACATCCAGCACAATTCAAAGAAACTGAATTACTGTTGTGACTTATTTTTTAACCTTTGAATGAAAACATGAAAATTAGTTTTTAAATTAATTATAAATTAAATAAATTATAAACACACAAACACTAAATTAATTTAAATTTATATATAATATAATATATTTATATTATATATAAATGTATAATTCATTCAATTGATTTATAAATTATTTTAAATAATAATTTTAAATGTGTCAAATTTTTACATTTTCAAAACGTATATATCAGTAAAAAAAATCTGTATATATAGTAATTTTTTGTAGTATACACACAAAAAAATTATATATATATACATAATTTATAACACAGGGCTAGAGTTCAGGGCTCACAACTGCTGCTTCTGTGTCTTTTTTTCTTGACAAGAACTGCAGTCAGATGAGATGTTGTCAGGCCATATGTCAGTAAAAACAAATTTTCCTGTCCTGTCAGTCATTATACTGTGCTCGTAGTGCACTGTAGCCTGTATCATTTCATATGAAAGCACGAATGAAACTATGAACATGCGTGTCAGATCCGCATCATGTTCAGCAGCGGCAGCTCTTAAAGTAATAGCAGCCAAATAACCTAATAGCCCAGCTGCTGTGATGTCTGTTTATTTAAAGAACAAAAGAAAAAAAGAGAAAATCAATAACTTTTGTAGCTTTAATTATTCATCTTTATTTAACGTAGAATTTAGAGTTTGATAATTGTATCCAATTTCTGTATATTTCCTACTTGCTGAAGGGCACAGGTAAATATGACATTTATTATAATGGGTTTATGTGAAGATTGTTTTAATTTAACTTCAATTAGAAGTTGCTATTTTTTAAAGTAATAAATGTTAAAATTGACAGCTCTCACTTATACTGTAATGTTGAATGGCTATAGTCAATGGTTAAATATTAGGAAAAAAGAACAATTTCCTAGAGACATCAGTAGTATTGGTATCAGTGATACTTGCCTTCAGTCATAAAAAAAGATGCCATTAAACAAATATAAAAAATATACTGTCTTTATGTTGTTTCTACATTAATTTGAAGATTGAATGTGAATTTTTTGCAATATAAAAATATATTTAAAAATGTAAATATTAGGTGGGATTAATCGCGATTAATTTCAGAAAAAAGTGTGATTAATTAGTGAATTTTTTCTAATCGATTGACAGCACTAATATATATATATATATATATATATTAGGGAAAAAAGGAGGAAAATACAATGCCAAAACTAATTTTCCTCAAGTCTCATCTCATCTAGAAAATATCTGAAAAACATATAAAAGATTGAATTTGAAATCTAAATGATTGATAAGGGAGTTAGCCATCTCCTCAGTGTAGTGCGGAGGAGAAAGTTCTAGACAGGGAAATTGTGAAAACATCAAGTCCTGGAGCTTTCAATGCTAGTGCAAGAGGAAAAAAACAACTGAATCATGCTACTATGGAAACGTATGTTGGCAGCAGGAGAAATAATGGTTGACTATTAGCAAACCTTCCTGTTCAAATAGATAGACATGACGTCTGAAATATCATGCTGCGACCTTGAATGTGAGAGCGAAAAAAGCAAAGAATGAAAGATGCAATGCTGAAAAGATTTCAGCCTCTTACAAAGGGCTTGTGTGGAAAAGGAAAGTCATTTGGATTTGTCAAGGGATATAAATATGGCTTCTTGCTGGTCATCAGTTGCTATAGTTTGTCAGTTTGGAACACTTACATGAGCAGACTGCCAGGTGCAGACATGGATCTCTCTTCTCTCCTGCTGGGACACTCAAATGGATTCCCAAAGGAACGCTTCCTTAACATGGCTTTGACCAAAATCTACAGTAACAACAACAATATATCAATTACTGTACATATCAAAGAATACAGATCAGGGCATGTAGAAATACAACACATACACATACAAATACAAAACATTAATGGAAAAACAGCAGTGTGCTAAAAGTACTATTTACTGAAATGTGATGGTGAGAAGGACTAAATCTATGTAAATAATCGAGGAAAAACTGACAGTTCAGAAGCAGGGTCAGTTTGACGTGGTTAGGTTTCAGTTGTTTGGTTGAGGTCAAGTGTGTCTTAACCTTCTTATTCATCCACTCATTGACAGCAGTACAAAGTCTTAAAAACATCTGGGCAAGGCATGTGGCCTCTGTGTGTTTATGTTCTTGTAACTACTGTTCAGTAGCTCATGTATTTAATCCACAGACGCCCTTGTGCTTGCTCTGTTTCACTTACCACAGCAGACAGACTGGGGACGAACTTCACTGAGTTCTGCACCTCTTCTTCAGTGACTTCTACTATAGTACAGTGCTCCTCTTCTAAAGGCAAATGGTCAGTGCCATCCTTAGTCACCCAGGGGTCCACCTGAAGATAGACACACATACATATATAACACATGCCAACCTATCATTCCATCCATCCATTTATGTACTCTTCCGTTAAATCATCCATTTGCCTAGCCATCAACTGTCCTTCTATTCATCGTTTCATCCACTGATCCTTTAATTCTTCCCTCCATCCATCTGTCCATAGATCAATCCACACATTTTTCTTCCATCGATTAATCCATTCGTCCATCCATCTATTGTTTCATGTCCAGCCATCATCTATTCATCCATCCATCTACAGTATAAGTCCGTCCACCCATTTATTAATCTGTCCGTAGATCAGTTTTTACATCTTTTCTTTCATCCATCCATCCATCTATTGTTTTATCCATCCAGTCATCATCAATCCTTTCATCTATCCATCCAACCATCTGACCATCCATTTTTCCATTCATTAGTCCATTCATCTAACATTCTATCCATCCTTTCATTAATTCCTCCATAAATCCATTAAACGATTCACCCATGCTTCCATTCATCCATCCATCCATTCATCCATATGTCCATAGATGAGTCCATACATCCATTCATCCATCTATTGTTTCATCTATTCAGCCATAATCTATCCTTCCATTCATCTTTACATTTGTCCATTTATATTTTTTATTTATCTGTCTGTAGATCTGTCCACACATCTTTTCTTCCATCCATCCGACCATCCATTTTTCCATTCATTGGTCCATTCATCTAACTTTCTTTCATTCAATCCTCCATAAATCCATCTAAACATTCATCCACACATTCATTCATTCATTTGACCATTCATCCATCCGACCATTAATTTTTCCATTCATTGGTCCATTCATCTAACTTTCTTTCATTCATTCCTCCATAAATCCATTAAACCATTCATCCACACTTTCATTCATTCATTCATCCATCCATCCATCCATCCGTCCGTCCGTCCGTCCGTCCGTCCATAGATCAGTCCATACATCCATCATCTATCCTTCCATTCATCTATCTATTGGTCTTTAAATCCATCTGTCTGTAGATCTGTCCACACATCTTTTGTTCCATCCATCCATCATCTATCTATCTGACCATCCATTTTTCCATTCATTGGTCCATTCATCTAACTTTCTTTCATTCATTCCTCCATAAATCCATCAAACCATTCATCTACACTTTCATTCATTCATCCATCCATCCATAGATCAGTCCATACATCCATCATCTATCCTTCCATTCATCTATCTATTGGTCTGTCTATCCATCTGTCTGTAGATCTGTCCACACATCTTTTGTTCCATCCATCCATCATCTATCTATCTGACCATCCATTTTTCCATTCATTGGTCCATTCATCTAACTTTCTTTCATTCATTCCTCCATAAATCCATCAAACCATTCATCTACACTTTCATTCATTCATCCATCCATCCATAGATCAGTCCATACATCCATCATCTATCCTTCCATTCATCTATCTATTGGTCTGTCTATCCATCTGTCTGTAGATCTGTCCACACATCTTTTGTTCAATCCACCCATCTATCCATCTGACCATCCATTTTTCCATTCATCTAACCTTCTTTTTCATCCTTTCATTCATTCCACTATAAATCCATCAAACAATTCATCCACACTTACATTCATTGATCATCCATTCATCCATCTATTGTTTCATCCATCCAGCCATCATCTAGCCTTCCATTCATCTATCCATCGGTCTGTCGATCTGTCCACACATCTTTTCTTCCATCCATCCACCCATTTGTCCATTCATTGGTCCATCCATCTAACCTTCTATCCTTCCATTCCATTCATCTGCTCATCCATCAGTCCTTTCATTTATCCATCCATTCAAATATCTGTAGATTGTTCCATATATCCATTCGTCTATTCACCCATCCAACCAGAAAATCATTAAAGAAATACAACATTTGTCTTAAAAACAAAGTTAGTCTGAAGGATATAAGAGTAGAGCTGTTGAGTGAATGTAGGTCGTGCAGCTCTGATTAACGTGTGCCCTGGGGATCGCTGCTTTAATGGAACATTTTCTGTGTAATGACATACAGGCAGGAGTCTCTGATGGCCGAATGTGTGTGTGCTAATTATTCACACTCTCTGTCACACTGAGACAGCAGATGGAAGTTTCCAGAATGTGAACCAAAATCTCTGTCCATGGGGATTAGCTGATGTGTTCCTGCCCAAACACCAACTCTGCTAGATGGTGCAGAAGCTATCAGAGATACTGTGTCATATTTTAACACTATCCCTGGATGTGGCTCAGGAATGGTCTTTGATAGAAACACTGCTGATTTGAGAGTGCAGACTAATGAGACACTCTCGGGAATGTTCTTTGGACATTTCTTTTTGAGATACTGACTATAATTTCAATATTAAGTGATGTTGTATTCAATTTCTCTGGTATGCATAAAGGTAAATTTAGGTGATTTCTTGAGGAAAAACACAATTAATAATACCATCCAAATCAAAAAGTCAAATGTGGACATTCATTTTAATTTAAATAGAAGAACTCCTAAGTGAATCTTTGAAACTCCGTATTTTGCAATAGAGATCTGTGAAGATGGTGAAAGGGATTACTTGCCTCTCTCAATTTCTGAAATGCTCATTTTGTGTCTTATGTAGACTTACTTTGATCTCAGGAATGGTGATCCTGGTGTCTGGGTTTTTGTCCAGCATTCGTGAGACCAGGTTCTTCAGCCCCTCACTGATAGCTGGCCTGAGATATCACAGAAACACAGAGCAAATATCTGAAGTAGTAAAACAAAAACCAAACATCTGACTGCACAGCTAAACAATGACAGCACACTTTTACAAGAGGTGACACACTGCAGACATAAAAACACTGTTTCAAACACACACTGACTGTCACACAGCTTCTGTAACAGGAGGAGGACGGACGGATATCTTTAATGCTGTTATAACGTAGCATAGAGAACAGTAGAATAAAATGGAATTGTACAGTAAAGTACAAAAACCAGTACAGAAGGGCAGAGTATTGTTGTCTTTTTTCCTGGTACAACTATCTAAACATCCTTAAAACAAGATGGATTCATATGTTATCACTTGAATTAGGCTGACTCTGTTGAATATATCTATTTTTCCCCATTCCCCTAATTTGTTTTCTTGTTTTAAGCCAAGACTTAAAATTTAGTGAGGTTTATGTTTTAAGAGGCAGAGTGTAACAGTACATTTATAGCAGTTACAGTAGAATTTTAAAACTGCAGTCCAAATGTTTTGGCTTTTTGTCACCATCTCTGTTTGAAACCTGCAATTGCAGTTATTTGTGGAATTATCTTCTTTACTTGGGTTGTGCATCCGCATGGCTCCTCAGAGCAAATTAATCTAATGTTTTGAGGAGTATGTGTGGGCTGTCAGTCAACGCACAGTATGGATATTCACTGTACTTCAGAATTACAGATACTATGTCTTGGAAGTAGGTCCAAAATAAGAAGTTTTGCCAGAAAATGTAATCTGAATAAGTAAGTAACATGTCTGTCAGTTTTGTTCTGACAAACTGAAAAAAAAAATGTTTTACAATAAATCACGCTACCAATGGTGATTGAAGTTAGCAAAGTTAGCTCAGATCACATCAAACTGTGCAAATTATTATAATTGTTATACTTTGTTCTCAAATTGTTAATGTTAACAACATCATCATTGCGTGACTACGTGTATTTAGTGTGTATTGTAATTGTCATTGTAATTGTCTAATTGTCATTCCATTAGGGGTGGGGGAAAAAATCGATACAGCATAGTATCGCGATATTTTCCGTGGGAATATTGTATCGATACACGGATGCCAAGTATCGATCTTTTATTATACTATTTGGTAGAATAATAAAATTAATTTCTTTACAATCCAAGATGGTAGTGTTGAGTTTTTTTCTGGTGAGGTCAACTGGGTCACCTTCAGCATGCAGTAAGTTAGTAAAATAAAGAGGGCGGCATCGCTGAAAGTTATCAGGACAGCCTAAGATGTATGGACTTACTTCGGATTTGTAAACAAGGAGGGGATGTAAGTAGGGATGCACCGATAATATAGGCTACATAAAATAATAATAATATAAACAGTAATTTACTTTCAAATGCCCCAATTGCTGAAGGGTCTGCACAACTTTTTAGTACAATTTCAAGTTGCACTGTTCAAAATACCTGTAGTAGCACAGCAGTGCATACCTGTTTACATTTTTTAAGGTGGACTAGACTAGACTGTAATACAAATAGTTGAGTTTGCCAGGTGCATACAACCTTTATGACAGGTTTTCATGAAAGTGTTGATCAGTTTGTCTGCTTGACAATCCCATTTTGCACTGCAACAATAAAACTGAAGTGAGATAAACAAACTGAGAATTTTTTCTTTTTAGTTAAAACAGATGTTGTCAAAGTTTTCCTTTGGGGACATAATTTGAAGTTGGAAAAAGGTAATAAATTGCAATATATCGCAGAATAAAATTTTAAATCGCAATAATATTGTATCGTGACACAAGTATCGTGATAATATCGTATCGTGAGGCCTGTGGTGATTCCCATCCCTACATTCCATACCACTGGAAACCCATGGCCACGTAGATATTCAGAATTGGATTCAAAATGATGACACTGTGAACAGTTAGTTCAGTCACTGAGAACACTGCGGCATGACATTAGAGAACAGAGTGTGTGTTAGAGAGAGACGCTCTTTCATTAGTTGATTACTTGTCCAAACACATATACCAGACGACATGCATCCGGATGGCCTCTGGCCTTCCACACATAGAAGGCAGACTTCATCAACATATTCAAACAGGCCTGCAGGATCATACACAAATATGTGACCCTGGACCACAAAACCAGTCATAAGGGTCACTTTTTTGAAATTGAGATTTATACATCATCTGAAAGCTAAAATAAGCTTTCCATTGATGTATGATTTGTTAGGATATGACAATATTTGGCAGAGATACAACTATTTGAAAATCTGGAATCTGAGGGTGCAAAAAAAAATCTAAATATTGAGAAAATCACCTTTAAAGTTATCAAAATGAAGTTCTTAGCAATGCATATTACTAATAAAAAATTAAGTTTTAATATATTTAGAGTAGGAAATTGACAAAATATCTTCATGGAACATAATCTTTACTTAATATCCTAATGATTTTTGGCATAAAAGAAAAATCAATCATTTTGACCCATACAATGTATTTTTGGATATTGCTACAAATATACCCCAGCGACTTAAGACTGGTTTTGTGGTCCAGGGTCACATATCATACTAAACCAACATGTATCAATACTGCATTTAGCTCACACTGCCATACACTCAAACATCTCTGACATTTCCACTCTCTGTCTTTGTTCCTGAGAGAAAAATCTAAATATTGAGAAAATCGCCTTTAAAGTTATCAAAATGAAGTTCTTAGCAATGCATATTACTCATAAAAAATTAAGTTTTAATATATTTAGAGTAGGAAATTGACAAAATATCTTCATGGAACATAATCTTTACTTAATATCCTAATGATTTTTGGCATAAAAGAAAAATCAATAATTTTGACCCATACAATGTATTTTTGGTTATTGCTACAAATATACCCCAGCGACTTAAGACTGGTTTTGTGGTCCAGGGTCACATATCATACTAAACCAACATGTATCAATACTGCATTTAGCTCACACTGCCATACACTCAAACATCTCTGACATTTCCACTCTCTGTCTTTGTTCCTGAGAGACAGCAGATGCATCCTAAACAGCAAGGGGCGACTTACGTCTCGGAGAACTCCACCGGCTTACTCTTGATCTTATTGTGAAGTGCCAGTATGTACTCATCAATAAATGGGCACTGGAGGACAAGGAAGAAAAACATAGTAGGAGAGAGAGAGAGAGAGGAGGGAGACGGATGAGTGATCAAAATCATCCATCACAAATGTCACTGCAGTAGCACACTGCCCCATCCATTGATCATTCTGATAGCTAATCCCACAATGAAGAATTACTGCTATCACTCTGATCATATCAACACATGAGCCGACTCACCTTCCCATACACAAAACAGTAGAGGGTCACTCCCATAGCCCACACATCCAGAGCCTGAAAAAAAAACACAACTTCTGCTTTAGTGATGCAGGAGAGTTCTACACTTTTGAGATATTGAGATGAACAGAATTCCTTAAAGGGACAGTTCATCCAAAATTTCCATTCTGCTCAAAAGTGAGGGGTTCATACATTTAGTTTTTTAAAGAAAGTAATATTTTAATTCAGCAAATACACATTAAAATGATCAAAAGTGACAGCAAAGGATTTTTAAAAAGCTTATTTCAAAAAAATTTATTTTAAATAAATGCACTTCTTTTTACCAAAACACCCTGAAAAATGTTTTCAACATTGCTAATAATAAGAAATGTTTCATGAGCACCAAATCAACATATCAAAATGACTTTTGAAGAATCAAGTGACACTGAAAAATTCAGCTTTGCCATCAAATAAATTGATTTGATTTAAAAAATTTTAAATAGAAAGCAGTTATTTTAAATTGCAATATTTCACAATATTACAGTTTTAAATGTATTTTGATCAAATAAATGCAGCCTTAGTCGGCACAGAAGACTTTTTAAAAGTCTTCTGCACCCCAAACTTTGGAACGGCAGTGTAGCTCTATGACACGTTCATGAGAGAAATAGCAAAGTCCCGTTCAAAAACAAAGTGTTTATTTAAAGGGTTAGTTCACCCAAAAATGAAAATTCTGTAATTAATTACTTAGCCTCGTGTCGTTTGAAACCTGTAAGACCTTCGTGCATCTTCGGAACACAAACTAAGATATTTGTGATGAAATCCGAGAGCTTTCTGACCCTCCATAGACAGCAATGCAACTGAAACGTTCCCAGGCCCAGAAAGGTATAAAGACATTGTTAAAATAGTCAGGACATCATTAAAATAGTCGATGTGACATCAGTGGTTCAACCGCAATTTTATGAAGCTATGAGAATACTTTTTGTGTGCATTCCTCTGCTTGTAAACAAGGGTTCAGAACGTTGGATCCTGAAATTGATTTGATTTAAAAAATTTAAAATAGAAAGCAGTTATTTTAAATTGCAATATTTCACAATATTACAGTTTTAAATGTATTTTGATCAAATAAATGCAGCCTTAGTCGGCAAAAGTCTTCTGCACCCCAAACTTTGGAACGGCAGTGTAGCTCTATGACACGTTCATGAGAGAAATAGCAAAGTCCCGTTCAAAAACAAAGTGTTTATTTAAAGGGTTAGTTCACCCAAAAATGAAAATTCTGTAATTAATTACTTAGCCTCGTGTCGTTTGAAACCTGTAAGACCTTCGTGCATCTTCGGAACACAAACTAAGATATTTGTGATGAAATCCGAGAGCTTTCTGACCCTCCATAGACAGCAATGCAACTGAAACGTTCCCAGGCCCAGAAAGGTATAAAGACATTGTTAAAATAGTCAGGACATCATTAAAATAGTCGATGTGACATCAGTGGTTCAACCGCAATTTTATGAAGCTATGAGAATACTTTTTGTGTGCATTCCTCTGCTTGTAAACAAGGGTTCAGAACGTTGGCTCCTGTGTCAGAAGCACCACATGCATGCGTCATGGACTGACATGGAAGTGAAGAATTGTTGAATAAAGTTATTTTTGTTTTCTTTGCACACAAAAAGTAGCTTCATAAAATTACAGTTGAACCACTGACGTCACAAGGACCATTTTACCGATGTACTTTCTAGGTTTCTGGGCCTAGGAACATTTCAGTTGCATTGCTGTCTATGGAGGGTCAGAAAGCTCTCAGATTTCATCAAAAATATCTTAATTTGTGTTCCGAATTTGCGTTCCTGAATGACAGAATTTTCATTTTTGGGTGAACTATCCCTTTAAGCCATTTTATAAAGCTTAATCACATCCAGTGTGGACAGCCTCAAGCTGTTGGCTTACCTCCGGCCATTTTTTCATAATTTATTTGTTACATTTTTTTGGCTAGTAGAGATTATGAATGGCTGGTAGCTTAAAAATTTAGTAGCCAAATTGGCTGGTGAGTGAAAAAGTTCATTTCAAACCCTGGATGTAATGATTCACTCAACTCACGATGCGATTCACGATACTAATTTCACAATACAATTTTTCTCACAATTTTTCTTTTTAACCAAATGAGATTTAAGACAAATTATAAATGAAAAGGTGTCCTTTTATTATTTCTCCAACAAAATGCTGCACATTTCTTTGTGAAATTGAAATATGTCAAATAATAAAACTAACTTGAAATTTTAAACCAAATCCCAAATCAAATAATTAAATAATACAAATAAAATAAATCTCTTCATATAAACAAACTAATGCTTTGGCTGTGCTTTTTCCATTTAAAATCAGAGGCAACTACTGGATTTTAATCACGATCCAAACAAAGATGCTAAATACATGTTATTTAGATTGCAATTAGATTTTATAATTTCGAAAATTTGAAGCAAAAACAGAATGGTTTGATTTTAGCTTTGAGAATGAGATGCAAATGTCACTCTCTGACAGCAGGTGGCGCTTATGGAACAGCAGGTATTTATAGGCTGCTGCCCCTTTAAGACCGAATGCACGGATCCAATATAATGATGCACTTGAGATTTCTCTCTCCACTGTTTAGGTTTACCTAAGACATAACTGACTGTGTTTACGAGAATACTTGCCGAGACAGTTATTTTGAGATACTTTTGTGTGTATGTGTTCATTCAGATGCAAGAATATGCGAAGGAGGAATCAATTCTGTGTACGCGCATTGTCTGAAACACGGCTCTCTGTGTGCGCGTTGAATGAGTGCACGCAGCTCCGAATGCGCATGAATGGTTTAAAACACTTGAATGTTTAAATTGTCAAGACGTAGAAACACGTGCAAACGATCAACTACGATCCGTTTTACCCATACAAGCTAGTGAACAACGCAAATCAAGAAAGGAATTTTACATCACTGTTCAAGCCCGTCGGGCAGGGAGGTGAAACATTTTGGTAGCTCGACTGGAAAACGCAATAACCCCGGGACGTCGGGCTAGCGATTTTGCGAGCCCTGATGTTTCATCAGTGACTAACTCTGATCACTTAGCCTAGCAGGAAATCTGAAAAAATTTAAAATATGAACAAAATGTGTAATACAAATCCATACTTATACTTTACAAGTTACTTATTTTTGACCAAAATGTCAGTTTTAACCTGCTTTTTGGATGTTTAATCATATTAAAGTTTAATAACGATACTAAGTTGAGCACAGCCAGTGAAGAGGAGGTACAAAATCAAGTGTGTCTGACAACAGGAGCTCTCGGCTTAACTAAGGAACCGCAGACAGGTTCAAGAAGGTCCCCCTGGGCCGTGCACACAGAAGATGAATTTGATTGGTTAATAGATGCCTTCCTGTCTCAAGTGGTCAATCAAAGATAACCTGCCCACCACTTATCATCTTTCAGTCATCTGCCATTGCTGGTTATATGTGACAAGAGCCACATCTCAGACGTCTTCAGATGGTAATGAAAAAAGAAAATCCATTAACGAACAAAGACATGTGTTCAAAGTATTAGCAGGTTATTGCATATAATTATTTCATCAAAGTCAGCAAGCAAGGTGAATGTGACACATGGAGTACACCACAGTTCATGCAAGATGTCTCTCAAGCAGTGTACGTAGCATAACCCCCCCCCCCACACACACACACACACATCTTTTATATTACTATTAATTAATTCTATTGACATGTCTCCCTGAGGTAACTAGCTTAGTGCTAATGAAATGAATGGAATATGGTCACATACTCTGATTACAGTCCACAGATTACCAACACACACAAAGGAGTTAATCTTTAACACAGACTGATTTGTGGCGAATCATGCAAATGGCCAGTTGCCATCCAGACAGTTGCTACAGTGAGTGTTGCCTGGTTAGTAAGATTCAAATGAACTTATGAAATGAGTTTCCACTTGATGAGCAGAACAGACACTTGGCAATCAACTCAGCCTAGCTCACTCTTTGTTTGAGCGATTATCTTTAAAAAAAAAAAAAAAATTTATTCAATTTATTTGTACAGGGACAACGCACAACAACAGTGTTGTGCCAGAGTTAGCTATAAAGCTATATAAAGTTATTTACATCTTGTTTAAAGGCTCAATACAACTTCAGCTGTCGACATATATGTTGATCACCATAAAGTTATTTAGACTTGTCTAAATAGAAGATAGAGATTTTCTTGAGACAGAACTCTCTTGGGTCTTTATTTTTACATAAGTAATGATTCATGACAGGCACTCATCAGTAGGAGTTTGCTTCACTCTTCTCTACTGGGAATTATTTAACTTCAGATGCTCTGTTACAAAATCCATGTCAAGGTGGTCTCCTAAAAACTAAAAATGGAACTCAGTGAGGTCGACCCAGCAATTCGAAAATGGTTTTTAAAATAAAGGAAATGACTCACAGTACTCGATGCCAAGAACAATGTCTCTGAAGTAGCAGCGGGCCTGGTCCTCACTGAACGGACTGTCGCTGGGGACCTCCATCACAGGGCTGGTGACCAATAGAGACACTTTATTGTAAGTTAACTGATAAAGTACTAATAAAAGACAGTAACTGAGACAGTAACAGACAACAATGATTCAGGAAGAGAAACACTGAACGAAATTATAGGTGGAGAGATCAAAACTTTTGATACAATATACTGTCTGAAATGTCCTCTTGATGTGGCTTTAACATGAAACCACCCTAGTGAAAAATAAATATACTAAAAAGTATTTGAAATACATTTATGCCCAGCTAAGTATACTACAAATACATGTACCTACAGTGGGGCAAAAAAGTATTTAGTCAGCCACCAATTGTGCAAGTTC